GGCAGCCCCCCGGCTGCCAGCCTCTCCTGTCCCCCCAAGGGGACACTCTGGGGACTCACCAGGCACAAAGGTGAGGTGGATGGTGCGGGCAAAACACTTTCCCTCTGCCTTCAGCCTCCGGATGGCCTCCAGGTACCTGTGGGAAGAAGGTGGTACCTGGGCATCACGGATGAGAGGGGCTGGTGTGCCCTGAGCCACGCCAGGGGGGTCAAGCGGTGGCACCCTCAGCCCCTGGGACCCTGGGGATGGTGGCATCCCGTCTTGCATCACTCAGAGGCACCCTCACCACCGTGCCCACCCGGTGGGCGCAGAGCCCTCCACTCACTGGATGGAGACGCACTTCATGTCCTGGGCACCCCGGGCATAGATGTTGCCCTGCGAGTCCTTAACGGCCTCGAAGGGTGGGTAGGTCCAATGCTCCTGTGGGTAAAAGTGGCCGTGACGGCAGAGCACCGGTGGGCTCCCACTTTCCTGCCACCCCGTCCTCCCCCCGATGCCCATCCCACCCTTTGCCCTGTCCCAGCACCTCAAAGACGGGCACAACATCAGTGTGGGAGTTGAGGAGGATGGAGCGCAGGCGGGGGTTCGTGCCCTGCCAGGTCAGGATCAGCACCACACGGCCCTGGCACACCTGTGGGGCAAGGGCAAGATGTCACCGGGGTCCAGGCTGGGGACAAAGGGGCTGGGACCGGTGGTTTGGGGCCAAAAAGTTTCTTGATGCCACCCGGCAGCAGGAGCAGGCATGCCTGCACCCCCTGCAGCCAGACAGAGCCTGGGCACGGGTGCAAGACCTGGCTGCAATTCAGACGGAGGAAGGGAGACAAACCCAGAGTCTTCCCCCAGTGCCCGGGAGTCCCCGGGGACAGCTGGTGCCCAGCAGGAAGGATGTCCCCAGCCAACACGACCCTGCCAGGTCCCCGGCTAATCATAGCACAGGCGGCTGCAAAGGTCAGCGGGGACCAGCCGGAATACAGGCTTAAGGAAGGGCTCAGGTCAGCAGAGGATTACAGGCAGAGGGGATTCACTCCTGCCCAGGTCCGGGGTGGCGAGCAGGGGAACAGCCTGGTCGCTAAGGATCCAGGTGCAGATGGATGGATGGATGGATGGATGGATGGATGGATGGATGGACGGTTGGGGGGTTGCTTCTTGTCTCACTCACCTCCACTTTCTGGCAGGCCAAGCCCAGGTCGGTGCCAACGCGCTCCAGAAACTGTACGGCCGCATCTAGGGAGGAGCGGGGGTGCCTGCAGTTACGTCAGGATTTCCCTTCCCTCTCACTGCATCCCCCCAGGGACCCCAAGGCTCTCTGGGGTTCCCAGGCCAAGGAAAGAGGTGACCAGAAAGGGCAGGTGATGGAGGTCCTGGGCACAAGCGGTGGCTGGGAGAGGGGACAGGAGTGGCCTGTCACCATGCCTTTGGGGCAAGAACTAGGGGAATATGAAAACATAAAAACTGAAGGGGTTGAGTTCAGGGGACACAGTCCTCCATAGGAGTTTTGGGAGCTTCTCACCAATAAAAAAATTTCAATGTACTTTAGTGGGAGGATGGAAATGTTAATGGAAGGAGAGCTACATGGGGTTACCACAAGCATCAGTCCCAGAGCCAGGGCAGCGTGGAACAGGGGGGGCCCAGGGCTGGCGGAAACAAACCAAAGGCACCAGCAGAGATAAGGCACAAAGCTGTTTGCTTCTTAATGATTAAAACAGCCTCGGCACAGGACTCGAGCACCTGGGTCCAAAGACCGGAGCTGCAAAGCAGCGTTGCCGGATCTCTGCATGGCTCCCCATCCTGTCCCCCCCATCCTCACCATAGTCAGGTTTGGGGTGGACAGTGTCAATCTTCAGGTACTCCCTGAAAAGTGTAACCGAGGGGTCCTCCGAAGCCCCCATGCTCTTCCCAGGCTTCCCAGGTGCCATGTCAGGGGCTGGTGCTGAAAAGCTCTGGGGGAAGAGTGGCAAGATGGTTAATCACCCACCGGCCCCTCCAAAGTCCGCCGGCAAGCTCGGTCGTCACAGAAACCAAAGTGGGACAGGGCAAAGGTCTCCCTGTGAGCCTTGGGACGCTGCCACCATGGGAGAAATCCCCCCACTTGGGTACGAGGGCAGGCTGGGATGTGCCCCCCACACTGTCCTTTCATTCTCCCCCCAAAACACATGTTCCTGCCCCAAACACAGTGCCAGGGCAAGCTGTGATGCCCAGGTGTGGGACAAGATCTAGGGAAGAGCTAGCTGGGGTGTAGGGGGCTAGCAGGGAGGAACGGGGGGCAACAAGGTGGGGAAGGGGGTTATGGGGGGAAGAAGGGTGTGTAGGGCAGGGGCACACAGTAGTTGGTGTCAGCCAGTGGTTAAGGGTCCGGGGGGGTGACAGAGGGGTGCAGGCATGGAAGGA